TCTAGCCAGCAGAGGCTTGGCAGCCCGGCTGCTGAGGAACAGAAGAGCGCAAAGCCAAGGAGAAGAAGGTGGCGGTTTCCTCCCAAAGGGGGCTCCTTTTCTCCACCCCTTCCCCTGGTTTGTGGGGAATTTCTCGTCACCAACGCTGACAGGTGCTCCTTCGAGCCCGCCGCGAGCTTTCTCGCCCCCTTTGCTTCTCCCCCCCACTTTTGTGAGGATTGTGGCGCTCTTGGGAAGCCGATCGTGCTTTGAAGCTTAGGAGAGGAGGAGGAGTCCCTCCTTCCCTTCCTCCTTCCCTCCCTCTCTCCCTGTCAAGCCCCGGCAGGCTCGACATGAACGGGCGGAGGAGGAGTCGAGGATGGGCGGGGTGGCAAAGGAGACCGGCGGCCATTGCCAGACCTCCCAGCTGACAAGCGCAAGTTCAGGGGTCTGAACGGGCGCAGGAGTTGGGTGCTGCGGCAGCCTCCCCTTCGCTGACCTGCGTGCACAAGAAGTCAATCCGGTTGCTGCACAATGAGTCTCTGGGGAGGGCGGGGCCTTGCTCTGCGCCTGTGCTTTTCATGCGCCCCCTGCAGGGCACATTTGGTAGAGTTTGTGCAGACTGCCGCCAAGCAGCATATTTTCCACAAACAAGTGAGGTGGAACGGAGGGGGGGAGGGAGGCACCGCCGCGGGGGGGGAAAGAGAAGGCGGTTGACAAGCCCTGCCTAAGACCATCGGAAATATATGTTTTCCGATGGTCTTAGGCGACCCTTGTGAAAGGCTCATGCGACCCCCAAAAGGGTCGCGACCCACAGGTTGAGAACCGCTGCTCTAAAGGGTGCTATCCAAAAAGATAAAGAAGTTCAATGGGCTTGTAGAAAAGGCAATCAGGCTATTCAGCATTATCATCCATAAATAAATAAATGCCTAAAAGAAATAACTGAAGTAATCTCCATAGCAAGGGTACAGCCTGCATCAGCTAGCTTCCAACTAAGATTCTCAATTCCCAAAGACAAGAAACCCTGTTTGAGGTAGCCCCTGAAATGTTACTAAATTTACTAATTGGAGGAGCACAATCATGTCCAAAATGCTGTAATTGGAAGAGGACAGCCGTATTAGATTATGGTGGTGAAAAAAAATCAGGAAACTGTTAGCACTTTTTTGATTTTAAATAACATTTGTTGGTTGAAAAAGATGCAACTCCATTCCTTACTTTACTAAGTCATTCTTTTGAACTAGCAACCTAGGTGTATTAAATAAATTAGCAGTAGGACTGAGGATCATCTTAAAGGATTTCTCATATCAAAAAATACTGTGTTCTTTGGCAAAATGTGGGGTTAATTTCAGGGATGCTTTGCATTGAATTGGCACTGCATTGGTGAAACCACACTTGGAATATTGTGTCCAATTCTGCTCACCACGATACAAAACAGATGCTCAGGCCCTAGGAAAAATGCAGAGAAATACAACAAAATGATAAGACATCTAGAGGCTAACTTGTTCAATGAACACTTAAGTAAATTGGGTTATGGTATGTGTGGCCTAAGGATTAGGGGTGACAGGATAGCAGTCCTTCAGTACTTGAGGGGAGAAAAGGGGATTGATCTATTCTCCAAAGCACTTGAGGGCAGGCAAGAAGTTACAGGTGGAAGATCAAACTTAGGAGAAATTTCCTAACAGAACAATTATCAGTGGAACAGCTTACTTCCTGAAAGTGCTCTATCAATGGAGGTTTTCAAGAAGGTTTGGACAACTTTTTGTCCAAGTGAACAGGTGGTTTTCTCTAGAACAGGGGTGTGAAACTGCTGGCCCTTGGGCCGGACGCATCACGCGGAAGCGGCGCCCACCCCATTGCCGGCAATGGCAAAACAGTCCCAATATGTTGCGCGACGTCATGTGACATCACGAGTTTGACATGTCTGGTCTAGAAGATTTCCAGAGTTCCTTCCAACCCTGTTATTGTGTGTTCTATGAATTCAATTAAAATATGACCAGGATAGACACCATCTGCTATTTTTTGGCTGAAAGTCAAAATCGTAATTGGAGCAATAGTGGGATTTTATAAGCCTGGCAGGACCAGAGCTACTGGATGTTGTCCTTAGGAAGATTGTTGGGACTATTAAACCAAGGACAGATTGTGATGCTTGGTGTTTGTATTTCCTCTTCCAGGATATTTAAGGTATAATGTCAGATTATCAAAGCCCACGAGTAATCTTTATTCAAGGGCAGCCAAAGTTGAAGAATTCATTCAACATTTTAATTATTTAAGATGTGTTCAGAAAAGGGCTGCATTTTCAGGCTTAAAAAATACACATACAGCATAAGTATGGTTGCAGAACAGTATCAACATCTCTTCAGTATTTCATGAACTTTATAAAGTGGTTTTTTTTACACCCACCCGCCCACCCCCAAGCATATTAGTAGTGCAAAAAAGGTATTTCCCTATTCATAGAATTTTAATTCCAAACTTAATCATCATTCCTCTTGCATATTTGTGGGTGGCTTTCCATTGTTATTGCTGTGGGGGCTATATGATGAATTTCTTACAATCCATGAACATCATTCCATAATATTAAAAACAAAAGCAGGCAGAATCATTAGGAAGAATTCCAGTAGGGTATCAAATAAGAAGGATAAATGCTAGTGATTTTTTTTCCTAACTATGCTTGGCCTTTCCTTGATAAGAGGCAAAGATTAAAATCAAAAGAAATTAATTCCTACAATTGCTTGCATCCCATATTTTTGTAAACCTGTTTATCAAAGTGCCACTGACATTTTCAATTTTTAAAAATTCATTTAACTTTTAATGATAACAGTTTTATCATTGGTAAAGTTGGAGCTCACACTTCTAGTGGTTCCATAGTTTGAAGTTTGCAGTCTCAGAAAAAAATGGTGATAATGATATTATTCTTCCAAATGAAAATATTTAAATGTAATAGCTAAAACTTTTGCTTATTAGGAAAACAAAATAATTTTATGAAGTTCCAAATGTATATTATGCAGTCCAGTTCAGATTGAAATTGAAATGATCTTGAAATATTGCTTGTTTTTATTTATCTACTGAATAAATAAGTGTTATTTTTCCAGGAAAATAGTAATATTAATAATAGCAATGCTACTTATTCTTTTTTTTCTGTGGTGAATTATTGGTACCTTCCTGCAGAAGGAAAGTATACAATTATTATTATTATTCTTTGCACTGGGAAAATATTTTTCCCCTGGATGGGGCAGATTTCATTAGAAACAAAGGAAATACAATGAATATAGAACCATGAAGAATCTTTTTGCCCATAGCTTTAATTTCATCTACATATAACTATTAAAAATGTAAGGTTCAAATTTAGGAAATTAGCTGCATTCTGAAAAGTTCGAAATGTATATTGAACAGACAATTTCCTGTTTACTATTATGGATTAATTAATTCAACCACTATAATATATTATTTCCAGTCTAATCCTACTTTGGATCAATACCTTCTTCCATTGTTACGCTGGCTTTAAGAAGGCTAGTTGCTAATTTTCCAGGCAATTTGCATGCAGAGAAGCCCACTTTAATAGTAATTAGAAAAGCTAGACTAAAAATGTACAGGACAGTTTTTAGGTTTCATGGCCCTCTTCTGGTGTGATATTTTTTATTCTTTTAGTTTGGTCTTGTAGAATGTTGGTTTCTGTGTCCTAAGTGCAAGGATAATCACAAAGCTTTAAGCTTTTGAAGAGAAGCTGAGCCATTTAGATTTCAGAATCTGGATTAGGTTGTGCAAAGTATTGTGACTTGCTGACTGTTACTAAATAAGTCATTTTAACTGGTCTGGCACAGAAAGAAAAGCTGTGCATGCAGTTTTATCCATTCTCTCCATGGCTGTGTAATCTTCAAGCCATTCTTAATTGGGTTTTTCTTGGCCAGAAAAACTTAGTGCTGTGGGGCACTAAGGTTATGGCAACTGGCCAGCCAAGCCAGCTTTAGCCACCTCTTTTTATTCATACAAACATATACCCATGTGCATAAGTACACTTTTTAGATTTGATTTTTTTAAATATTATTTTTTTAAATAAGTATCATGTAGAGCCTTAAACACTTCTGTTCTTCAGTAAAAAAAAAACCCCGCTATACAGAATTGTTTCTTTTTTCTGCCACATGTCTAAATTATGAGCCTGATGTTCCTTCTTTGAAAACCATAATCAATTGGCTACTTGGTGGTAAGATGACTTTGCGTACACCACTCCACTCCCAATTTTCTGTGGGATATAATACAATGATCAAATTGGACTTGGATTCAAATCCCCACTTAGCCATAGAAACTCATTGGGTATCCACTACATCGCCTCAGCCCAACCTGTCTAAAATGTATATATATATATGCAATTTTGAGCTCCTGGAGAAATAAGGAATGCAAAATTTGCTGTTCTTTAACAGGATCCATTCCTTTTCCCTAAATGATTATGTTCCACTTAATGGCTGCTTTCCTGCTCACTCCTTTCGCAGATTACCCCCCCTCGCCCTACCACCCTCCCTGGACACAGAGATATACAATATTGTTCCAAAAAATTGCCAACCAGATGCCATATTTGTTGTCCAGATCAATGTTGAAGGGCAAAAGAATGTTGGAATGTTCAATTTGAGCTAATTTGGCTAAGGAGTGTACAAATGTGAATTAGAAAAAAAATAGTGTTCATTTCTCAATTGCAGATTAACATACCCATCCCATGCACCTTTGCACAGGTGGGAATCCTGTAGATGTGTCAATTCAGTGAACTTTCCACCTGGTAACTTCTGGGCTTTGTTGATGCTTGAGGAAGAGCCAAGTCATCTCCACCAACATCACTCCAACCAGAATATTCTCTGAGCAGCAGTTTCATGTCATTGTGCTTTGACTGTTCATCCTTCACTGGCTGCAAGAATAAGCTTCTCGCTTGGGCTTATGTGTTGTGTTTAACAACGTTGCACTGTAAAATGTGTCATGTTTCCCAGAAGTCAGAGTTCTAAAATAAATCTGTTGATTCCTTCCCCCTCCTCTCTCAGAGCATTAAGAAGAAGAACACCAGTAAGCAGGAGATGAGCACCTATTTGCGCTTCATTGTCTCCCGGATGAAGGAACGGGTGAGTGTTGTACTACACAATGGTGTGTAGGATTCTAAGCAGATGGTTTTTTTGTGTATGTTTTCTTTTGCAACTTCAAATACTTACAGGTAATCTTCATTGCTTGAGACCATTTGAAGTTATAACAGACCTATCTTCAGGCTGCTTATGATCTGGAGTGGAAGTTCTGGTGGTCAGGTGCTCTCTGTAGTCATATGACTGATCTTTGGGCGCTGAACTTTATTGCCATTTGCAGTTTCCTGCGGTCATACAACTGCATTTTACAACCGTTTTGCTGAAAACTGGCATTTCTGGTTTTTAGCAAAACCACATCATAGTGAACAATGGGTTTGCTTTATGACTGCCATATTTACTTAAAGATTGCTGCAAATGTTGTAAATTGGTCACGTGACATCTGTTTTACAACCATTACAACTTATAACCATAATGGAGAGTCTCCATTATGGTTGTTTGTTGAGAGCTGCATGTGGTTGACTCTGTAAATGGAATAGGAATTATTTTCTATCTTCCTATTTCCCCCTTAAGTATCTTTGTTTCTCCTCCTGTCCCAGTTCTTCACTCGAATAGATGTAAAAGGTAAAAGGGAGTGGGAAAAAATATAACATAAAAATTATATTTCAGGAGCCTTAACTGTGAATATGAGCTGAAACCTTCCAGTTTCACTCCTGTTTAGAATAATATCTGAATAGATGCGCATAATTCTGTTCAGCAGATGTTCACATTTGAGACAAGCTTGAACAACTTTCAGCTAATCAGAAGAGAATTTTCTCGGTAATAGTTGGACACAGATTAGATGCCATGCCTGTCAAATGGTCACAACTTAAGTGGTCTCGTGCAAGGGATTTGCACATAAACCTGCATCTTCGTGTCTGTTCTGTTTCAACATCTCCCATCCTTTTAATCCTGCCAATTGTTCAGAGACGTATTTGTTGGCAAACCTGTTTCATGTGTTTGATTTTAAATCAGTGTTTCCATAGGGCTTTTATTGTGCATCCTCCACCATTCTTCCTTGGGTTTATCTTCCATTTATTTTTTTTATTATTTCAGTTTTTGTCCAGACACAAAATTTATGATGATGGAATAAGTAGAGTATCTGCATAACTTCATGATTTTGAAATTTAGTGGTTTAAAGGAACATTTGTAAAGGACAACCAAACTCTTAATTCTTACCAATACAGTTCAATATCAATTTGCCAAATTCTGTTTTGATACATTATTAATCTTCGATAGAATGTTTTATCCACTGTGACTAGCCCTATGCATTAATTAAAAAGTCAGTATTTTCAGCCATCAGAACTCTTGCTTGGAAATATTGGGGAGAAAAAAAAATAACCTTTCAAGAGTTGGATGCTGATTCAATACATCAACTTACACAATGATTAATTGATTGAAAAATTAAAACACATTTTTGGGAGGAGATAGAGTTTTTCTAATATTAGTGCACAGAAAAAACACTTAGGGTTTTTGTTTCTTGATTATGCCTTTTGAACGTTAAGAAAACTAAGTAGCCTACATGTCAGCCTTTTTGGAGTAGAACTTTTAAAAAACTTTAATTTGTAAACTGGCATGTAATACAAATTCTTACAAACTATTTTAAAGGCTATGCAACTCTTCTTTCTTCTCAGAATAACAGGTTTCTAAACCAGTATTTTCTGGCAATTTTTAGGCTATTGATCTAAACAAAAAAGGCAAAGACAACAAACATCCAATGTATCGTCGACTAGTACACACAGCTGTTGATGTTCCAACCATACAAGAGGTATGTTCCTATATAGTTCTGAGCTACATGTTACAACAGAAGAATATTGGCAGTTTTCAGACTAATCTCATTTTTGGAGGCCCCTTATCCACACCTGGAAACCCCATTTCATTTAGTTCTGTCTAGAACAGGGATCTTCAAACTTGGTCCTTTTATGGCTTGTGGACTTCAACTCCCCGAATTCCTCAGCCAGCATGCCTGGCTGAGAAATTTGGAGAGTTGAAGTCCACAAGTCATAAAAGGACCAAGTTTGAAGACCCTGATCTAGAAGCAGTTTGTATGAGTTACTTAGGTGAAGATCTAACTTAAAAGGACTACTAGGTCTTCTTTATGTAGAAAATGCTTAGGATGAAAGATGAGATCAGAAGCAGACTAAAGCTACTCATTGCACAATTTCATAACTCTTTTAAGTTCCCATAAATTATTTTGTAGAAACTGTAATATAAACATACTTTTATATGTGTGCTTATTCTGATTACTGGACAATGCTAAAGAAAGTTCTTATAATTCTGTTTCAATTTATATAGAAAGTAAATGAAGGAAAATACAGAAGTTATGAGGAATTCAAAGCAGATGCTCAACTGCTTCTACACAACACCGTGATTTTTTATGGAGGTAGGTAGGCACTGGTTGGACTTAAAAATAAGATCTTCAAGCAAATGGCATCTTGAGGGTAGACCTGATTATAGAGAATAAAGAGCGAGTGAGAACTTTGCATTACGTTCAGTTTTACTTGTCCCTCAAAGGTGAATTAGAGAAAGTCATGAAAATTAAGCCAACATGATGGATCTATATTACTTCCATTATTAGAAAGCAGATACTTGAATGGAGAATGTCAAAGGGCTTTACAAACGGAATCTCAAGGAAAGTATTATGAACAATTTATGAAATACACATGTCCTTGCTTACAAACTGCATTGTTAATGACCTTTCAAAGTTATGATGGCGTACGATAACCAATCATTGCATTTATGACCATTGCAGCACCCTGTGGTTATGTGATCACCTTTTGTGTGTTTTACAACTGGCATTCAGCAATCAGAGTTAATAGAAAAGGCAAAACTAAAATTGTAAGTTGCAGTCATGTGATGTTTCACTTAATAACTAAAGGGAAGTGAGATCATAAATTCATTGTGGTCACATGTTTCATTTAGTAATTTGCATCTCTTAGCAACTGCTGTCCCAGTTGTGGTTGCTAAGGAAGGACTATAGTAAGCCCTAGTTTGATTTTTGGGGGTGGACCTAATATAAGCCCTACTCCAAAACTAAGCCCTAGTTTTGGGGCGAGGCACACCCCTAAAAATCAAGCTGGGGTGTGGGGGGGTGAAGCTGCCCCACACATACACCTGTCGTGCTGCTACTTGACTTCTGCAGCCGCTTCTGCTGCTCGCATACTTTGGGCCGCTTCCGCTGCTTGCGTAGCACTTCGGGCCGCTTCTGCTTACGCAGTGCTTCGGGCCACTTCTGCTTACGCAGCGCTTCAGGCCGCTTCTGCTTGCGCAGTGCTTTGAGCTGCTTCTGTTGCTCAGGCCCTTCGGGCCACTTTTGTTGCTCATAGCAGGGGACCACATGGTGCTGCGGGCCGTTTCTGCTGCAGAAACGGCCCAAAGAGCCATGCAGCATCCTGCCGTGAACAGCAGAAACAACGCAAAGCACCATGTGGCATCCTGCCAGGAGGAGTGGCAATGGCACAATGCGCCACATGGCGTCCAGTGGCAGCAAGCGGCTGCAGAAGTCAAGCAGCAGCGCGACAGGTGTCGGGGTGTGGGAGGCCTGGCTGTGGTGGTCCTAAGTAAAACATTCTCTGAAATTAAGACCTAGTGCCTCTTTTGGAGGCAAAAAAAATATATAAGACCAGGTCATAATTTACTTGGACTTCAGTAAGGCATTTGATAAAGGAGATCACAACCTATTACTTGACAAGATAGAAAAATGTGGGGTAAACAGCACCAGATGGATCCATAGCTGGCTGACCGGCCGTACTCAGCATGTGGTCCTCAATGGAACCGCATCTACATGGAGGGAAGTGTGTAGTGGGTGCCCCAGGGCTCTGTTCTGGGCCCAGTGCTCTTCAACATCTTCATCAATGATTTGGATAGGGAACTCATCAAATTTGCAGGTGACACCAAGCTGACAGGAATAGCCAACACTCCAGAAGACAGGCTTAGGATACAGGAGGATCTGGACAGACTTGAATACTGGGCGCTATCTAACAAAATAAAATTCAATGGTAAAAAAAGCAAGGTTCTACATTTAGGCAAAAAAAAAACCAAATGCACAGATATAGTATAGGGGTATCTTGCTCAATAGTAGTAACTGTGAGAGGGACCATGGAGTCCTAGTGGACAATCACCTAAATGTGAACCAGCAGTGTGCTGCAGTTGCCAAAAAAGCCAACACAGTGCTGGGCTGCATTAACAGAGGGATAGAATCAAGATCACGTGAAGTGTTAATACCACTTTACAATGTCTCGGTAAGGCCACACTTGGAATACTGCATCCAGTTTTGGTCACCACAATGTAAAAAAGATGTTGAGACTTTAGAAAGAGTACAGAGAAGAGCAACAAAGATGATTAGGGGACTGGAGGCTAAAGCATATAAGGAACGGCTGCTGGAATTGGGTGTCTCTAGTTTAATGAAGAGAAAGACGAGGGGGGACATGATAGTAGTGTTCCATATCTCAGGGGCTGCCATAAAGAAGAGGGAGTCAAGCTATTTTCCAAAGTGCCCGGAGGCAGGACAAGAAGCAACGGGTGGAAACTAATCAAGGAGAGAAGCAACCTAGAACTAAGGAGAAACTTCCTGACAGTTAGAACAATTAACCAGTGGAACAACCTGCCTCCAGAAGTGGTGAATGCTCCAACACTGGAGGTTTTTAAGAAGAGACTGGACAGCCATTTGTCTGAAATGGTATAGGGTTTCCTGCCTGAGCAGGGGGCTGGACTAGATGACCAAGGTTCCTTCCAACTTTACTACTACTACTACTACTACTACTACTACTACTACTACTACTACTACTACTACTATTATTATTATTATTATTATTATTATTATTATTATTATTATTATTACTATTATTATTTCAGGGAAACACGGTAGGTCTTTTATTTAAGCCAGCACATATTTCCTTATGTTTTCTTTTTTGTTAACTTTATTCAGAAATTAATTTTCTTTAAGCCATGAGATACCCAAGCAGATCTATAAAAGATTTGCAAAAAAGAAGAAGGCTTGGCATGTACAATCTTTTGTTATCTAGCTCATTAGAGGTTTAAATCAGGCCGAAGGGACTGAAGGCACTCTGGTTTTACAAGCTGATGGGGCCTGTTCCTCCAGAATTCAATTGCCTATTGTTTTTCATCATATCATTTACAAAGACTTAGGTGTTTGTGGGTATGTTCTTCTTATAGTGGACAGTGAACAAGCTGATATAGCCAGGATGCTTTACAAAGATACCTGCCATGAGGTAAGTAATATTTAGTCATGTTAGTGACTTCTGAACAATTGTCTTATCAGATTCCACATACCAGTGGTTTCACTTATTTTGAAAATTGTTCTGGAAATCAGAAAAAACTTAAAAAACATACACTGCATTTTGATAGCTTAAAATTAGGTGTGCTTCAGAAACTAATTGCCTATGTAATTATAAATCCTTATTGTGGTTTTTTATAATTTTTACAAAGCTAAATAATTTTTGAAAGCTAAATAACATTTTTATCTCATTTGTGAACAGTAACACATCAATAAAAATAAGTGAAGAAAATTAGGAACATTTTATATGATTGCTATGTTGGTACCTCCTTTAGAACAGGCTTTCTTTCAAAAACAAATTCACATTTTAATTTCAGTGAAAAGCTAAAACACCTGAACAATGATAGTGGATTACACTTCAGATATTTTTTAAAGATAAAAGGTGCCAGAATAATTTGAATGCACTAATGTATTTATGTGTGTCTGTATGATTTGTCTGTATTGAGTAGCTTTTTTTCATCCTTAGAATAAAGGAAAGGTTCTCAACAACTTTTTGTTCAGTTTGTACTACTAATATGTTTCTGAAATGATTAGAGACCAGTTAAAAATCTCTATGCATCTAACCTTCAAAGAAGAGTGGATACACTATATATGAGCGTATCCTAAGTTATGGATATGTACTCCGTTTCCTTTTATAAAGGTATTAAGTTAGTAGAATGAAAAGACCGGTGGTTACTATTTTGGTTAGTCAAAGTTTAATGATTTGCTTTAAAATTTGACTAATTATTTTTTATATGTAATATATGAAAAGATCTATTTTTACTTAATTTTTCCTTCACTTTTCCCCTTTTTGTGTTTTTTTATATGAAACATAATTTCCCTGGAAAGAGAAAAAACTTAATGATTTTAGATTTGCAAAATAACAGTTTTCAGCATTTCAGAACATATTTATTGAGGGTAACAGTGTTTTACTTCTTTTTTTCCTCAGCTGGATGAACTTCAGCTTTGCAAGAACTGTTTCTATCTATCAAATGCGCGTCCTGACAATTGGTTCTGCTATCCTTGTGTAAGCTTACCTTTTCTCACAACCGAGAGTAAATATGGAATCTGCTGCCCCAAGAAATGGTGATGAGAATTATCCCAGCTGTCTTAAAGAATGGGATTTATTGAGAATATGAATACAGCCATCAGACAAAATTGTAAATGTTAGTTCTGCAGCCACCGCTAGGTGGAGTCATTTTCACACCAGTACGAAAGACAAGTTCAATTGTCCCAGTCACAGATCATATTTTTACATTTCCTTGACCATAGTGGTCAGTTCATGTCTCTCTGGCATTGGGGAAAGGACTGGTGCTATAATAAAGTCTTGCCAGTATTTTCCTGGCTTAAGGCTCACAGAATACAAGCATTTCTTGGAGAAATTGGATGAACACTGCATTCTCAAAATAGCAATCTATAACTCAAATTAGTGTGCCTGTACAGCTGATTCGGTATACATCAGATGTCTCCCGTGCATGAAACAACACAATGCCAATTTTTGCTTATAAGAAGAAACATTTATTTGCTTGAAGACTTGAGTTTCTTTGTCTAAGTTAACAATGCTTAGAAACTGCCAGCACAATGATAAATTGTTATATCATGTGAGAATGGTCTGTTAAACTCTGCTGACAATGGTGTTATATAGACCAAAGTAATGATCACTGTTGTCAAGACTTAGTTAAAACTCTATCATGGGTACGTTTTATTGTGGAGTCCTTGGTGCTCTCTCAGTTTAGTTGTTTTCTTATAAACTTTTCATTACCCAGCTAAGCAAACCACTTGTGTATGTGAAGTCCAGCACTGATGATGTTAGCTAGTTGGGTAATGAAGCTTGGCAAGAAAACCACCAAGCTCAGAGAGCACCAAGGACCTCACAGTGCAAACCTGAACTCCAAATATTCTTTTCAGTTGGTAACTTTTATTTTCATTATGTGATACTGTTATACCTAACACATGCCAAGTCAGAAATACTTCTGTACTGTACCATGTTTCTTTAATTTTTAGATACCAAATCATGAACTGGTATGGGCCAAAATGAAAGGCTTTGGATTCTGGCCTGCGAAAGTCATGCAGAAAGAAGACAATCAAGTTGACGTTCGCTTTTTTGGCCATCACCACCAAAGGTATTTTCATTCTTGCAGTGTCTCTTGTATGCTGAGACAACCAGCACACCCCTGGGTGTGGTAAAGAGTGGATTCAGCCCAGACTGATGCAGGTTCAAATTCACTTGAACTTTGACCCATTCTTTCTCAGGCCAATCAACCACACTGGATTGCCTTTGCAAGATGAAATTGGAGGTGGACATGTTGTGGAGCTGCAACTGGAGGAAAAAGATCTAACAAATAAACAACAGGGCGCTTCTCTTTCTAGGTGTGGCGAAATGTGGTCTGGATTACTAGGAGGGAGAGGCTACATTCCAGGGGACTCGAAGACAGCAAAATTTAAACAGTTTGGTTGAGAGAAAGAGAGTTAAGACAGCTCCTCCATATAGATTTTCAGATTATATCTATAGGGATGCAAAAGGTTGCTTTAGTTTGGCAAGATTTCTGTCTATGAGTGAAGGACAATAAAGGACACTGCTTGAAGGTCACTCTACAGTAAGGGAAAAAATTATTTGATCCCCTGCTGATTTTGTACGTTTGCCCACTGACAAAGAAATAATCAGTCTATAATTTTAATGATAGGTTTAAGTTAACAGAGGGAGAATAACAACAACAAAATCCAGAAAAACGCATTTTAAAAAAGTTATAAATTGATCTGCATTTCAATGAGCGAAATAAGCATTTGACCCCTTCACAAAACATGACTTAGTACTTGGTGGCAAAACCCTTGCTGGCAATCACAGACGTTTCTTGTAGTTGGCCACCAGGTTTACACACATCTCAGGAGGGATTTTGTCCCACTCCTCTTTGCAGATCCTCTCCAAGTCATTAAGGTTTGGAGGCTGACATTTGGCAGCTCGAATCTTCAGCTGCCTCCACAAATTTTCTATGGGATTAAGGTCTGGAGACTGGCTGGGCCACTCCAGGATCTTAATGTGCTTCTTCTTGAGGCACTCCTTTGTTGTCTTGGCTGTGTTTTTTGGGTCATTGCCATGCTGGAATACCCATCCGCAACTCATTTTCAGTGCCCTGGCTGAGTGAAGGAGGTTCTCACCCAAGATTTGACGGTACATGGCCCCGTCCATGATCCCTTTGATGTGGTGAAGTTGTGCTGTCCCCTTAACAGAAAAATACCCCAAAGCATAATATTTCCACTTCCATATTTGACGGTGGGGATGGTGTTCTTCGGGTCATAGACAGCATTCCTCCTCCAAACACGGCAAGTTGAATTGATGCCAATGAGCTCAATTTTGGTCTCATCTGACCACAACACTTTCACCCAGTTCTCCTCTGAATCATTCAGATGCTCACTGACAAACTTCAGACAGGCCTGTACATGTGCTTTCTTGAGCAGGGGGACCTTGCGGGCACTACAAGATTTCAGTCCCTCGCCGCCTAGTGTGTTACCAATTGTTTTCTTGGTGACTATGGTTACAGCTGCCTTGAGATCATTAACAAGATCCTCCCGTGTAGTTCTGGGCTAAATCTTCACCGTTCTCATGATCATTGAAGCTCCACGAGGTGAGATTGCTCTAGACTGAGGGAGATTGACAGTTATGTTGTGTTTCTTTCATTTGCGAATAATTGCACCAGCTGTTGTCACCTTCTCACCAAGCTGCTTGGCAATGGTCTTGTAGGCCATTCCAGCCTTGTGTAGGTCTATAATCTTGTCCCTGACATCCTTGGACAGCTCTTTAGTCTTGCTCCTACTATCAGCTTGTTACCTGTATAAAAGACACTTGGGAGCCAGAAATCTTGCTGATTGATAGGGGATCAAATATTTATTTCACTCATTAAAATGCAAATCAGTTTATAACTTTTTTGAAAAGCGTTTTTCTGGATTTTTGTTGTTGTTATTCTATCTCTCACTGTTAAACCTACCATTAAAATTATAGACTGATCATTTCTTTGTCAGTGGGCAAATGTACAAAATCAGCAGGGATCAAATATTTTTTCCCCTCACTGTATGTGTCTTTCTTGTTTTTTTGGGGGGGGCTCTACTAAGGCTCAGTAAGGTTCTAGTGTTCTCTTAGCCATAGAAACCAACTTGACTTGGGCCCAGTCACTTTCGGGCATCCTAGTCAAGCTCACCTCATAAAATGGTTTGGATGGGAGAAACAGGAGTAGCGATCATTACATCTTGAGCCGAACAAAGTAAAGTGAGATATAAATCCATTAAATGATGTTCTGTCTTCCTGACATAAGTGATATTAGACAATCTGAATCCTAAACAGAACCTGTCAAAGAACTTGCTTCTTAAAATTGCCACAGGTAGTTGTCAGCTGACAGTTGCTTATTTAATGACTGTTCAAAGTTACAACGGCACTGAAACAAGTGACTTATAACCAGTTCTCACACTTACGACCGTTGTAGCATTCCCACAGTCATAGGTTCAAACTATAGCTGCTTTGCAACTGGCATGTATTTTCAGGGGTCGCAGTGTCCTGGGATTGCCATTTGCAACCATTCTAGGGAGCTTTTGACAAGCAGAGTCAATGAGGAAAACCAGATTCGCTTAATAACCACATGATTTAAATAACAACAACATGGTCAAGAAGTGAGTCGTGCCCCATTTGCAAAGTTGTTGAGAATTACCTGTAGTCTTTAATATAATTGAGATTAATTTTTTTCCATACCATAAACTGATGTCATTGTGGAGCACGTAGATATTAATGAGGTTAAACGTATTGAGAAGGTGGAATTGCACACAGAAATAATTGTTACAGTTTGGACTAGAAGAAAATGAAATTTGAAATAGAATTAAAATTAACATTGGGAATGTGTGAAAGAGTATGGCAGGGCGGGGGAGACTCAGTGTTATATCTATGACCTCGCCATCAAAACCCAATGGAGAAGACTCTTTTCATCATTTAGGTAAGATACGCGCTCTTGGAGTTAAATGGATGTTTGTAACAGAAAAGGATGATTTGAAAACTGAATTGGCAACTCCTTTCAAAGGATGTGCTTAAGTTTATCTTTTCATTTTCATTGTGGAGGGCCTGGATTCCTTCTGAAAATATTCAGGATATCACCGTTAATATACACCGGCTACATGTAAAACGTAGCATGGGCTGGAAAAAAGCATGTGATGAGTTAGAGCTACATCAGCGTTTCCTTCGGGATGGCAGATTTTGGAAATCAAAAAATGAGGATAAAGGAGAGGAAGAAGCAGAATCAAGCATTTCTTCTACCAGTAATGAGCAAGTGAGTAGATGGATTGAATTATCCCAGTTGATTTAGCCCAGTTGCAGTTAACCATTGAAGCTTGGCTATTTCTTTAATCTTCTTTTTTCTTATCACAGATCTGAATCGTCATATGGAAAACTCTGTACGCCAGATTCTGGGTCTAAGATAATCTGTATTTACACTGTTTTTAATCGTTGTATTTGATCAACAGATTTGCAATAAAAGCAATTCCTCTCTCTTTAAAGAAATTCTAGAATTGGCACCATTGTTTGTACCTGAAGTTTATATACAATTTAAAATCTCTTATTGAAACGAGTTTTCTCTTTCATTGTTTGCTTATTTTTAAATGCATGGTTTATAGAGTGATTCACATTGGATTCAAATCCCAGGACAGTTGTGGAGTTTAGATTTTGTTTGCATTCTTGTTGTTTTAGGTGGATGAAACTAATACCTACTTAGTTGGGTTTTGTTTCTCTGCCTGCTTTGTTCCAGCTTCATTTACAGAAACAGGTTAGAGCGTGCCTCTGTTTTCTCAGATAAAAAAATTCCAAGCCCTCTTGGTAATGGACTTTTTCATGTACTCTGAAAACTTATGGGCATAGCAATTAAGAGGTGGAGGCACCTTGGTATCTAGCTGCCCTCGGTTTGTATATTAATTTTTGGGAGTGTCGTGGAAAAACCCAATGAAAAAGACAAGAGACAGCAACACAATAACAATAATCCTTATTCTAGGATTCAGAAGTTTATTTTGCTAATAATTTGGAACATAGCAAGCATAATAACACAACATCACTTTCATTAATAACCCATTGCAATGAGGACCATATGACATAGCAGAATCCATTAGGACAGTTATAGGCCAATGGCAAATCAATTAGGTCCAGTCCCAACCTTTTATACCCTTTCTCGTTCTAAGACTGTAGTCAGATGGTCCGCGACTTTTGCTGACCTTTGCTGACTTTTTATTTACTTCCTGCTGACCTACTTTCCACATATACCCGTGTACATTGGAACCCGCATTCATCAGCTGCTTTTCAGTTCCTTATTTCTCCCACAGTTACAATACTCATGTTCCAAATATACATAGAAATATCTACTTTGCAATATTGCACAAAGCTCAGCAGATTACAAATAGTACGTTCGTATTATGAAACAGCATAAAGTTCAAGTTAGAGCTTCAAATCACTTCTGTGGAGGCCTGTTTCAAGTTTGTTCTACCCTCATCTTGTTATATGAGGAGGGGGCTATATTTTCATCCCCCACAGTCCCCACTTCTTGCCCGTAAGGACAACACAAAACATAAGCAAAAAGATAAGATTAGAAGGATTCTGGGGTAAAGGGTCTAAAATAGTTTATGAAGGGCATGTAAAGAAAGTATTTTATGGGGGAAACATACAACCTCAGTAGGTTTAAGACTCATAATAAAAGAATACAAATGCCAATAAACAACAACACAACTATAGTCCATACAGCAGGCATGAGGCATTTTCCTGATGCAAATCGTTTCCTTCATGAGCCTCTGGACTTCCATTGTGCTGGAAAAGGTGGTGTAAAGTCTTTCAATCGTCTAAGGATGACAAATCAGACTTCACCTTGTTGGTGCTGTCTGGGCTGGAGATTGCATGCTGGTGGGGAGCAGAGGTTACTAGCACTTGCTCTCCTGTTGGGCAAAGTTTCAATCTTTGCCTAGGTACAGTCAGGTGATTGGGGCTGGATGTCTTCCTCGTCTGGGGCTGGTACTTTCTTGTAGTGCAAAATATGCATCCAGGAAGCCAGATCTTGATACCTCACAGCAATGTTGGTGGTCAATAGAATCTGGAAAAGTCCCTTTCAACAAGGAGCAAAGTAATTTTTTGCTGAAATACTTTAGTCAAAACCTGATCGCCAGTCTTCAAGGCATAACAAAGATCTAGTGGTTCTTTGGCTGGAGCAGTCCTTAGGGAAGCTGAAATATCTCAAACAAAATCTTTATAGGTGGGAAAAGGGGAAGGGGAAGAAGGTAGAAGGAGAGGGAGGGGAGGATATTGTGACAGGAGCAAGATTGCTTGCCACTGGCATGACTTGCACTGGTCTCCTGTTAATGACAGTCTGTGACAGCAATGATGAAAACTTGGCAGTAGTCCAACATTGCATCCTTTGACGCATGGATGTCTTGTAGAGAAGCTGACAGTCTCATAAACCTCACAGACACTCACAAAATAGACACAGAATAACATATCTTTTTTCCCCCTAACTTTACAAGTTTACTTCCCCTTTTTCTAAGTTTCTCCTCTGCCATGACCCAGTTTTTGGTAGCATAGGACAAGCATTTTAACTTTATTTCTGTACTTCCTCTACTTGCAGTTTTGGCTGATATTCAACTGCTAACTGCCTACCTAATATTAAAGCAGCTTGAAATTTTCCATCTAGCATATATTAAGCTGTTATTTTAAACCAACAAAAATTCCATGTTCTATTAAGTGTGTTTCCTTAAAATCGTACTTCAGCTTACAATTCAATAATTTTAGCACACTGATGTTCAATTTCCCAACTCGTACTGCAATGTTCAAATAGCACATTTCCCCCCTTTACTTAGGAAAGCACTTTAATGTTTTAACCAAGCAAAAATTAAATTGAATAGAAACCGCCCCCCCTTTTTTTCTGCCTCTCCCTCACTCTTTCAAGGCAGAAAGTCCCCAAGCAAAAAGAAAGAAATGGCAACCAGCAAAGGAGATGGAAAATGTTGTAAAAATGTTCAAAAGATTATACAGAAATTTTCCCCCTATTTCTATTTAGCATTCTTCCAATTAAATAGGTATCTCTTTTCTTTTTCCTTCTCTTAAGTAAATCACATACTTTCTTCTTTCTCCCTTTCATGAGCTCCTCTCCCACAGTACTGTTCCACAAAACCTCCTTCATTTCATTTTCTCATATCCTTGCAAACACATACTACTGCCTTCCTACTTACTTCATAACAATCTACAACTTACTGTTCCTTTCATAGCCTGGGGTTACATAATATTTACCCAAAAAAACTGGGGAACTGGGGGTGTATAAAGGATAAAACAAAAGGCAAAATATAAAAAGACAACACTTGTGAATACGTGAATGAGCAGGGAATAATGACCCACCCAATTAGGCTAACATGCATGTGGTTACATTTTTATTTTTTTCTCTCACCATGCATTAATCTATCAATTCAATCACTTTATCCGGTATACGTCGCTCCACACACACTCTAATCATGGGTGAGGGCAGGATCTCATTTTTGTTTCTGTGTTCCTGTTTTCCTCTCTCTGTTCTTTTCTTTTATCTTTTTTTTTTTTTTAAATCTCTATTTGTTCTCTAAGACAGTCTAGGAACCCAACCATCCAGGGGCAATAGAAGGGAGTTGAACCCTGCCATCACAGGCAGTCCTTATCTATGGAAAAGGTCCATCCCCTCTTTTTCAGTAAAACTGACAGCAGCAATAGAGAAATAACATGCTACCTCAGCAAAAAAAGGCCAACCCTTATCTATGGGAAAGGTAGCAGGCACAAAAATTGATGGCAATCAACAATGGAACATATCATCCCAGCAAACAAGCTGACCCTTTATCTATGGGGAAGGTAGCACCAATGTTAGTTACTAACAAACAACACTGTCCCAACAAAGAAGTTGGCTCTTACCTATGGAAAAAGCAATGTTTACCATTAACTAAAGGGTGGACATAAGTACAAAAACAAAAAATGCATTAAAAAATGTACACATACAATAGAAAAAAGAAAAAAGAAACTTTAAGCAACAGTGGGTGTCACTACATCCAAAGACATAAAAAATCAGGAAGCAAACAAATTTAATATAGGAAAAAATTCAATGACAGGTGCAAGATAAGGAAAGAAACCACAAACCACCAGAATACAATTCTAAAAAACAGTTTCATAACTTCCAAAAATACCCATAATAATGCACCAAACCAAAACTTTTATTCAAGTGCCCACAACAACTGTCATAATTTCTAGTCTTGAATAAAATAACACAATTGCCAAACTTAACAAACAATTAAAAAGCTACCTCTTTTTTTCATACACACAAAAATCCAATGCACAATATCAGCTAGGGGTGAAAATAAAAAGAACATACCTTCATCTTCACACAGCTTAAATAAAAACCCAAAGTACAAACTTCGAAATGGCAATCTCAATCTGCAAATCACCAGCAACCGGAAAAATAATATAACCACATTTCCTGCCAAGTGTCAAAAAACCCCTCATAAATGAGGTTGCAATAGATAACACACAAGAGGCGTGACCTCACACAAGGGTGCGACCCTTCCACAATACAAGGAGCTGATCAAGCCCCAGACCTGCCAGACTCTCACCGGGTCCCAGCCACGACTGTAAGTCCGACTGTTTTACCAGTGAGGACGGTCCTTCACCACACACTTAGTCTATCCTCAAAGTAAGTCCAGGCACGATCCTTCCCTTACTACCAGATTAGGAGAACAGGCTTAACTAACTAATTAAATCACAACAACTTCCCTATCTATCTACCCTAAGGTCCCAAGGAAAGGGGCCTTTTTCTTACCTCTGATCCAAAGTAGATTGTGAGTGCTTGGAGAGAGCGGGTTGGTTACCTGTGGCCCAAAGCCAGGAAGTGGTCAGAAATCCCAGCTGGACAGCAGGTCTCTTCCAGCAACCGTCTCTTCCTGGCCAACGCACCAAAAACTGTCATGGAAAAACCCAATGAAAAAGACAAGAGACAGCAACACAATAACAATAATTCTTACTCTAGGATTCAGAGGTTTATTTTGCTAATAATTTGGAACATAGCAAGCATAATAGCACAACATCACTTTCATTAATAATAGTACGTTCGTACTGTGAAACAGCATAAAGTTCAAGTTAGAGCTTCAAATCACTTCTGTGGGGCCCTATTTCAGATTTGTTCTAGCCTCATCTTGTTATATGAGGAGGGGGCTATATTTTCATCTCCACAGGAGGCTGGGATTTTACCAAATTCTGCAGTTCAATTCATGGCCAAAAATAGTTGATAAACATTTACTTTATTAGTTGCATTTTTAAAATTTTAAGTCAACATTTTTGTAACAAAAAAAAACTGGGTACTTATTGACAATTCTAAATGAGTATTTTCTTTTTTATTTATTGTTTCTTCATCTATTTTTCCAGCTAAAGGTTACTCAGGAGCCAAGAGCAAAGAAAGGAAGACGCAATCAAAGTGTGGAACCTAAAAAGGAAGTAAGGAACAGCATGGCAATTAAATACATGCACTTGTGGGTGAGGGAGAAAACATTATTCAAGCATATTTTCCTTCTGACTGTTTACAAATTCATTTTCTTCATGTTTTATAACTCAGAAAAGTGATGATCATTTATTGAAAGAGCATGTTTCAATCTGTTTAAATTTTCATCATTTGGAAGTATTGTTTTAATTCACCTTATATACTAGCCATATTCTCCAAATTGGAGTATCCATTTGGAACTGATTCCAACTTATCTGTCCTTAATAGAGATAGAATGTGAGGCTATAAGGTTTCATGCTGGTTCATGATTTCTGCCTATAGGCAAAAAGAAGGGGGGGGAAAGATTGATGTGTGTATTAAGAATACATGTATGGACCCATTCAACTGCTGCGTATCTTCGGAGATGCCTAAATTCCTATTCTGTAAGGTTGTAATATTAGTTTAGAGGTGCAGTGGCTCAGTGGCTTAATGACCCTGCAGATAGTCTCAGCTGGGCGGTTCGAGACCTAGCACTGTAAGGCAGAGTAAGCTCCTGTCACTTGCCTCAGCTTCTGTCCATCTGACAGTTTGAAAGCATGTTCCATGCAAGTAGATTGCAGGCAGTTAGATTCCTGACAGCTCTGAACCTCCCGGTTGCCTCTTTGCAAGGCAGTTCTGGGAAGGAAGGGGGCCTTGGGTGATGCTGCAGGAAGAGCCATTTGTCTTCCTCTCTGGTGTGAAGCCAGCTCGCCCTCCTGGGGCACACCTTGGGAAGTACACAAGCATGTCCTATAACAGAATTGGTACCTTGGCAAGTCAAACTACTACTCAGCAATAGCATTGTGTTCTCCTGGCTACTGTAACAATGCCATACACCGATAGTAATAATAGTTAATGGAGATATGCAAAACTTAATAATTTGGAAACCAAAATCTATTACTAAGTAATGATATTTTATAATATATATGTGGACTCCTTGGTGCTCTCTAACTTGGGTTTTTCCTTGCAGGTGTTTCATTACCCAACTAGGTAACATCATCAGTGCTGCATTGGTGATGTTACCTAGTTGGATAATGAAACACCTGCAAGAAAACAACCAAGTTCAGAGAGCATCAAGAATCCCCCTAGTTGCAAATATTTTTTTCTATCGATAACCGTAATGCATGTGATTTCCCCCCCTATTGCATGAAATAATGGTGGAGTCGTTGGCCTGATAATGTTTTAATTGTACAATGTGGCTATACATTTTTGTCTTTAAAGTACTTAGTTTTTACTTAAGCAATATTTAGAATTATGTTGATTCAATACACATTTTTCAGTCTTTATCTTTCTGATCTAAATGATTGTAGTCCTTTTCATTGGCCATTGTAGTGACACCTTCTTTGTTATGTTAGGAGCCAGAGCCTGAAACAGAAGCAGTCAGTTCAAGTCAGGAAATTCCCACAATGCCTCAACCCATTGAAAAAATTTCAGTCTCAACCCAGACCAAGAAATTAAGTGCCTCTTCCCCTAAAATGCTGCATCGAAGCACCCAGACAATTAATGATGGTGTGTGTCAAAACATGTGCCACGAAAAATACACCAAAATCTTCAGTGACTTAAAGGATAGAATCAAGGCTGATCACAAGAGGGAAACTGAGAGAGTTGTGCGAGAAGCTATTGAGAAGGTAACTATCAGTTTGATGACAGCTTGAGAATTTTTTAATTAGTTCTAATTATTCATTATTGCTGAAATTTATTTCTGTACATACCTATTTTCATTCATTCAGGACTGGAAGATGGCCCCTTTTCTGTACAAAGATGATAATCCCCTGGCTGATCACTCTGCAATTAATTGTTTTTTAAATTGATCATTTTAAGTGAGAAGTCCATTACTGCTACAGGGGTGATGTCTTCATGACGACATTGGGAGAATGACACAAATTTCATTCTTCTTGCATGTTGAGTTGTGATGCAGAATGATCCAAGTGGATGTGATCTGTGCAAAGACATCTTGATGTCCCCATCACTTGGTCATCATTGGGGGTTCTACTGGGTACCTAGGACTCATGTATGGCCTCCCAAAAAAGAATAGTACAGGATTCTGAGCTGAAGATCTGAGCTGAATTTGCACTTAATTCACATCATTCTGTGGTCTATGTTCTGCTTATGGTCTCTAAACCAGCATTTGAAATCATGATCGGTTGTTGGCTGGCTAATTCCCACAGTGAATTAACAAATGGGGTTTAATCTTGGAAAGGAATCTGTTGCTTAGTTTTGGCAACTATAATTTGATACAGGATTGGTGATGAAACGTAGTGAGTGGATTCAAACATCCTACTGAATGCAAATCAAACTGGCTTCATTTGTATGCATTTTATATAATTGCCAAACTTGAACAGTGTAACTTTGGGCAGGCTGCAAAAATGCTAGAAGTCCAGCAGTTTTTTGCTGTAGTGGACTAAAAACTCCTGAACTATAGACCAGGGTAGCTTTACCTCAGAGTCACCAGGGATTCCTTCTTTTCCAGTTGGAGTCCTATACTTATTTGAAGGTGAGTGCTAGTACTACTCTTTCCATTTAGATGGATCTAGGCCCAAATCAAAGGATTGCTTCTGTTAAGAGCAACTGAGTACATATACAGATAATCCTTAACGTACAACCACAATTAAGCCCAAAACCTCCACTGCTTATTAAGACAGTTAAATGAGTTTTGCCCCATTTTATGATGTTTCTTGCCACAGTTGTTAAGTGAATCACTGCAGTTGTTGAATTAGTAACACGATTGTTAAGTGAATTTGACTTCCCCATTGACTCTGCCTGTTGGAAGGTCGCAAAAGCTGATCACATGATCCCAGGACACTGCAACCGTCATAAACGTGAATCAGTTACCAAGCGTCTGAACTTTGATTACGTGACCAAGGGGATGCCGCAGCGGTCGTAAGTGTGCAAAACGGACATAAATCACCTTTTTTTTCAGTGTAATTGTAACTTTGAAGGGCCACTAAACAAATCACTGTAAGTCGGGACTGCTTGTAATGCTGCACAAGGTGTTTTTGGAGTAAGAAAGAGTTGGAAGCACCATTCCTGGCCTTTCACTCACTTGCTTTTTAAAATTCCAGCTGCGCACAGAAATGGAGGAGGAAAAAAGGCAGGCTGTGAACAAAGCAATTGCAAATATGCAGACTGAGTGTGAACGAAAGACTAAGCAGGTGAAGGAGAAGTGCAAGGAGGAATTTTTAGAAGAAGTCAAGAAGCTGGCCAGCCAGCACAAACAGCTGATCTCTCAGACCAAGAAGAAACAATGGGTAAGCAGCACTACAGGTGGATTGGTTCCTTGGGCTGTGTCTTCTGTGTTCTCATCTGTACTGGGGATGTTCCATAATAAGAACATTTTGGGATGAAGGGCCAACTTCCACCAACTTTCATCTCTTTGGAGAGATGAAAGGAGTTTACTTCCTTCCATAGCTCTGCTCTGTGATCTTAGCTTTCCATTTGTTGATTTCTCTGATTAATTTACCTATGGCAGGTATAAGTAAGCATGCCTTCCTTCCATGAGCTCCAGGAGGCACCCATAGCAAGTCTCCTGTGCTTTCATATGACAGCAATCCTGTGAAGTACGTTGGGTAGAAGGTTCTCCAGAGAACTTCCAGGCTGACTGGGAATTTGGAGCCCGATTTGCTCAACCACTGAGCACATTAGCTTTGTTATTTGCCTCTCCTTCATCCTAGTGAATTTTGTGGTGGCTCTCAATTGCATTGAGCTTTCAATGGCAAGCTCAAAGTTGCCACTCTTAGTTTTGTGGATTTCCTGTGCACAACCATTTTATAATTCTCTGCGGCCTCTTTTCACTTGGCATCTGGTTTTATTCAGTGAAAGGGGAGCACTCTGCATTGGAGATGTTTGATGAGGTAAGAAGACCTCACCCCAGTGCTATCTGTCTCTTTGGTTTTAGTTTTTATAGAACTCTTCTTAACTTTAATTGTTCTTATCGTTAACTTTTTGCCATTTGTAAGCTGCCCACAGTTGTCTTATTGGTGAAATGGGCAGCATATAAATTTAATAAATAAAATAGTCCCTCAGTGTTAAGTATTATCAGTTACAGGCCCATACTGGGCATTTTGGGGTTCAAATAAAAGAAGCCCACATATCTGGACATTGCCAAGTTAGGACATGTTACCCTCAACCACTATGCTGATGCTGGCACGTGAACAATCTTTGGTTTTAGGTCTCTAAACTAGGATTTGTAATCATGATCGGTTGTTGCTGACTGATTCCCATCATGAATTAAGAAATTGGGTTTAATGCAGGAGTATGTTGTGTAAAGGGCAGCCTAGTGGCCTAGTGGTGAAGATGCTTGCCTCCCACTCGGAAAGTTGAGAGTTGAATTCTAAGTAGCGGCACTTTCTCTCCTAGGGCTCAGAGAAAAAAATATCTGCTGCAAACTCCATGTAGGCATCAGGAAAGGTATCTGGCCAATAAATGCTCAGCTCTATCCAGTCACTCCAACTACTCTGAATGAAGGGACTACAGGGTTGTGAAAATGGAGTTTTGTGTTATGCAAGTCTATTTGCAAGACAGCATCCCTACAAAGAATTAAAGAGGGCTTTGGCCCAGGGGTCTTCAAACTTGATTCTTTTATGACTTGTGGACTTCAACTCCCAGAATTCCTCAGCCAGGCATGCTTGTTGAGGAATTCTGGGAGTTGGAAGTCCACAAGTCATAAAAGGGCCAAGTTTGAAGACCCCTGGTTTAGGAGAATTCATCATGGAGAAGGAGAAAGAGAGGTTCTGCTTTCATGATTATTTTTCTTCTCTCCCCTCAGTGTTACAACTGTGAAGAGGAGGCCATGTATCACTGCTGTTGGAACACTTCCTATTGCTCCATCAAGTGTCAGCAGGAGCACTGGCACGCTGAGCACAAACGTACCTGTCGTCGGAAAAGATGAAAGCTTCCTCACCTCACCTGTTGCCCTGATTCAGTGCTTTCCTCTAACACAGCAGGTGCTGGGGATCTTCTCTAGTTTTTCATGTTGGTTTCCAGGGGGGGGGGTCAGAATTAATGTGAATTCACTCCCCATTGTGATTGATTCTTATTATTATTATTGCACCAGCCTTGAAAACACTTTTTCGTAAAAAAAAAAATTTTTTTTGCACAGTTAAATTTCAGTCTTGTGTTTTGACACTCTGCTTCCAATTGTCATCACCTTGTGGCCCTCTTTCCCTTTTCTTTTTTGCTGGGAAGGTAATTTGGATCTCAGTTGGAGCACATTACTTTTTGATAAATTTTAACTGAGGGGAATTTGTTGCATTTTCAGCAAATTATATAAAAAAAGGATTCAACAAAACAAAGAAAGGTGATAGGAACATTTTCAAGAGACCTGAATGTAATAATAAAATAGTTATATAATAGATGTTAATCATTTGAGCTGGTTTTCTTCAGCTTAATTTACTGCTTGAAGGCATTATCTGTTGGCTTGGGTATACAATTGAATTTTGGGATCAGGGTTGACAGAGCAGGTGCTAGTCCTGCCACTTTTTAATATTCTTTTCCCAATTGTGTTTGTTCCATTGTTATTTTTCTTCATTATTTAGCTTTTATAATGAAAATATTAGTTTTGATTTTATTGTTTCAAAATCACCAGAGACTGGGTAGGCTGAGCCAGATCTTAGGAGGGAAAAAATAATATTTAAATTTTAAATTTTTGCACATTTCATCCTTCTAATACAAATACTTGTAAAAACAAAGCCAAAAACTGAAAAAAGAAAAACCAAGAACAGCTTGATTTTACATTTCAGCATACATGGAGTTCTAAGAGGCATTAAAACAAAAGGCTTAAGATTTGTCCTGTCCTTTTTGCCTCCTTCCAGCCCTTTCTCCCCCATTTCTACCTTCCGAAATACTAGTTGATGATTGAGCAGGGGGTTGGACTAGATGACCTCCAAGGTCCCTTCCAACTTTATCATTATTATTATTATTATTATTATTATTATTATAATCTGATTTATGCACTCAAATAGAAAATTAAGTCCAAGGGATGGGGAAGCACTTAAGTTTCACAAAAGCAGTTATGTCTGTAATATTTGGTTATTGCCATTTTTATGCTAGAATGAAGAATAATGCATGTTAATTTTCCTGTATTAAAGATGCTGTGATTTGTAAAAAGTTTGTCTTTTGCGGAATGTCTGGATAAAGAAGTGCTACCAGTAGAAATGGATCAATAGTTGAAAAGTGATTTTTCTCCCTCTCTTCCCTCCCTTTTGTTTATTTTATGTATAGGTATATATATAAATTTATATATATATATATATAAATTGCATCCATGTTCAGAGACATTTTTTTTATACAAGGTGTAAACTTTATTTAACCAGCTTACCTTCTAATGCTTCTTGCCATTGTGGGGTCCTTTTCAAGATGGTCTTAAAATTCAACCAGCTCCCCTTGAATATTCTTTTTCCAAGTCCAGACAAAGTAATTTGTAAATATTTATGTAGACCTTGGATATTTATTGAAAGTGATAATACAGTGAATCATACAAATAGGAGAACTGGGAGAAAAGGATTTTAGAAAGAAATTTCTCTGAAATTTGGTAGGATCAATCAGAAGGTTAAACTCCTATTAAGCTTTCTGTGATCTATTGCTATAGTGTAGAACAGTGTTTCTCAACTCCACAACTTTAAGGTGGGTAGACTTCCACTGGCTTGGGAATTGTGGGAATTGAAATCTACATCTTAATTATGTTGAAGCTGAGAAGTGTTGATATCAATCTTTAAACAAGTAATGGCAATTGAAGTAGCTTTCCAGTTTCCATGAGGAACTTTGAAAACTCAGGCCACAGAGCCTGAGTTTAAATGAACTAGAGTTAGTAAGATGAGGGCAGTACCCTCAGGTATCTATATTTGCCAAGCTGCATGGCAAATCTCTTGGAATGCCAAGTTGCCCCATTTATCCTGGTGGACAAGGGAACCTTCACCATTCCTTGGATCCATTTTCTAAAATGGATGGGTCTGCTCTGGAAAAGAATCACTCCTCACAAATGGAGCCTCAAATAGAGGTTAGGTCGTGCAAATACTAGCTTTATCTAGTGACTTAAATTTTTTAATAACTGAGTAATTATGTTATGACTATATATAGGAGGCCTTCACCCTAGAGCAAGTGCAACAAAGAAACACCCTTTGATTATTTTATTATTGTCCCTTTTCATCCTACTTAAAATAAAAAAAAATCTTCGGTCCAACCCTATAAAAGCAAGTTTTTGTGAAAACTATTTTTTGGGGGTGTAAAAATCATTCCGGATATGTAATATTTAACTGAATAGCTGCATGAAAGTAAAATTTGTGGGTTTTTTTGGCTTTTTTTCTTTTGTCTCTGTTGACACGGTTGCACATTTTCAAGTTATTACAGTGTGAAAACTGTGGGGTTTTTTTAAAACAACAAAAGAAGAAGAAAAAAATTGTGGCCTGGTTTTGTATAAGTTTTAGGGGGAAATATTGTTTAGAAATCCTGATTTCAAACATCTTTTTTTCTTGCAAATCATAAACCTATATTAAAGTGTTGAGCTTAGCCACTATGCACATTGTAATTTACTCATTGTGGCTGTCCAGTTCTATGACGCATTCTGGCATTTTGTAAGCTGCTCTGACTAGCAATATATAGAGTCATTAAATGTGTTAACATTGGTTAATAAATGTATTTGAAAAGGCAATAGCACCTTCTAGTTTTTTTTATATGTTACTTTTGACCTTTCCTAGGCTAACAGAGATAACACACATTGTCATCAAAAGATTTTTGTGGTATTGTTGGCTACTTTACTCTGGAAAAGGATGGTATATGATAAATGTGAAATGCAAATTATCATGGGTTAGCTTGGCTGGTTCAACATGGTGTCAGTTGATTGCCATTAGCTTTTAAAACTTCCCAGAATCCTATCTAAGATATTAAATACAATAACGGGGACAAAAAAAATAACACCACACTTTAAAAATGATGCTGAGATAAAAGTTCACTTAAGCTGTTTTCTGCTAAGAAGGCTCTGAGAAACTAAGACACGAAGGTCTTCATTTTACTTCTCCTATATTCATTCATGCTCTCATCAAAAAAGACAAGCCAGCAGTGTGCTGCAGCTGCCAAAAAGGCCAACACAGTGCTAGGCTGCATTAACAGGGGGATAGAATCAAGATCACATGAAGTATTAATACCACTTTACAATGCCTTGGTAAGGCCACACTTGGAATACTGCATCCAGTTTTGGTTACCGCGATGTAAAAAAGATGTTGAGACTCTAGAAAGAGTACAGAGAAGAGCAACAAAGATGATTAGGGGATTGGAGGCTAAAGCATATAAGGAACGGCTGCTGGAATTGGGTATGTCTAGTTTAATGAAGAGAAGGACGAGGGGGGACATGATAGCAGTGTTCCAATATCTCAGGGGCTGCCATAAAGAAGAGGGAGTCAAGCTATTTTCCAAAGCGCCTGGAGGCAGGGCGAGAAGCAACGGGTGGAAACTAATCAAGGAGAGAAGCAACCTAGAACTAAGGAGAAACTTCCTGACAGTGAGAACAATTAACCAGTAGAACAACCTGCCTCCAGAAGCGGTGAATGCTCCAACATTGGAAGTTTTTAAGAAGAGACTGGACAGCCATTTGTCTGAAATGGTATAGGGTTTCCTGCCTGAGCAAGGGGTTGGACTAGATGACCTTCAAGGTCCCTTCCAACTTTACTACTACTACTACTACTACTACTACTACTACTACTATTATTATTATTATTATTATTATTATCTCCCCAGATATCCATGCAGGTCTGCACACCTTTTCCGAGCTCCACTTCATTATCCAAAGCAGCTTCAATCCCTATCGTTATTTCAATGGATACTCAATCTTCTGTTACTTCATGGACATCAACTTCATGGACATCAACCTTCCATAAGACTAGGCATTATTTTTTTATTTTTATTTTCTTTTAATCTTGATGCATGTTTTATCAATTTTTCTCCATTGGAACATTCATGCATTTGGGTCAATATAAAAGGGGGGGAAAAACGACATTACCATAGGTGTATACTATAGGCCACCCAACCAAACAGAGGAAATAGACAAACTTTTTGCTAGTCAACTAACTCAGGTATGTAGGAAGCACATCACAATAGTAATGGGGGACTTTAACTACCCTGACATCAACTGGGAGACAAACTCTGCACCAAGTGGAAGACCAAACAGATTCCTTACAAACCTAGCAGACAATTTTGTCTCCCAAAAAGTAGAGAAGGGAACAAGGGGATTAGCCATTTTGGATCTAATTCTCACTAACAGAGATGAAATGATAGAAGGTGTTGAAGCCACAGGAACCTTGGGAGGAAGTGATCATGCAATATTGGAATTCAACATTCTGGAAGCACAAGCAATAGAACACAGTCAAACTAGAGTCTTGGACTTTAAGAGAGCTAATTTCAATAAACTTAGGGCTTGGGAAGGATTTCATGGATGAGAATCCTCAAGGGGAAAACACCTCAAGAAGGTTGGGAAATTTTGAAAAGTGAGATAATAAAGGCCCAGTCTAGCACAATACCAACAAAGAGGAAAAATAACAGCTCTCAAAAGAAACCAGCATGGCTGCATAAAGAACTCTCTGATAAATTGAAAGATAAAAAGGACAAGTATAGAAAGTGGAAAGAGGGGCACATAACTAAGTCAGAATATCAACAAATAGCCTGAGCCTGCAACGATGAAGTGAGGAAAACTAAGGCTCAAAATGAACTAAGGCTTGCGACCAAAGTCAAAAATAACAAAAAAAGCTTCTTTCAACATGTAAAAAACAAGAAAAAAGTGAAGGAAATGATTGGTCCATTAGTGGGGGAAAGTGGCAAGAAGGTGACAAGCAACAGGGAGAAAGCAGAACTATTTAACTCATTTTTTGCATCTGTCTTTACAGAAAGGGAAAAAACAGACCAACCTACCAAAAATAGTGCCATAAAAANGTTCTCAAGGAACTGGCAGATGTGATCTCAGAACCATTGAACTATATTTTTCAAAGATCCTGGAGCACTGGGGAACTACCGGAGGACTGGAAAAGAGCTGATGTAGTTCCCATCTTCAAAAAAGGAAAAAAAATGGACCCAGGAAATTACAGACCTATCAGCCTGACCTCAATACCTGGGAAGATTCTGGAAAAGATAAACAACGAATCAGCGAACACCTAGAGGCAAAGTCATTACTAAAAGCCAACATGGGTTTGTCAAAAACAGATCATGCCAGACAAATCTTATTGCATTCTTTAATCAAGTGACAAAATTAGTGGATCAGAGGAATGCTGTGGATATAATTTACTTGGACTTCAGTAAGGCATTTGATAAAGTAGATCACAACCTACTATTTAATAAGATAGAAAAATGTGGGTTAGACAGCATCACCACCAGATGGATCCATAGCTGGCTGACCGGCCGTACTCAGCGTGTGGTCCTCAATGGAACCACATCTACATGGAGGGAAGTGTGTAGCGGGGTGCCCCAGGGCTCTGTTCTGGGCCCAGTGCTCTTCAACATCTTCATCAACGATTTGGACGAGGGGATAGATGGGGAAATCATCATATTTGCAGATGACACCAAGCTGGCAGGAATAGTCAACACTCCAGAAGACAGGCTTAGGATACAGGATGATCTGGACCGACTTGAACACTGGGCGCTATCTAACAAAATGAAATTCAATGGTGAAAAAAGTAAGGTTCTACATTTAGGCAAGAAAAACCAAATGTACAGGTATATTATAGGGGGTACCTTGCTCAATAGTAGTAACTGAGAGGGACCTCGGATTCCTAGTGGACAATCACTTAAATATGAGCCAGCAGTGTGCTGCAGCTGCCAAAAAGGCCAACATAGTGCTGGGCTGCATTAACAGAGGGATAGAATCAAGATCACGTGAAGTATTAATACCACTTTACAATGCCTTATAAGGCCACATTTGGAATACTGCATCCACTTTTGGTCACCACGATGTAAAAAAGATATTGAGACTCTAGAAAGAGTACAGAGAAGAGCAACAAAGATGATCAGGGGACTGGAGGCCAAAGCATCCAGTATAAGGAAAGGCTGCTGGAATTGGGTATGTCTAGTTTAATGAAGAGAGGGGGGACATGATAAGATTGGGTCAGCTACGTCTATTTTACAAATGT